TCCTTATCTATTTTTGGCCAGAAAATATAACACATCATTAAGGATTTCATTGAAGAAATTCCTGGATGTCCTCTGTGAAATTCTTTTAACATACCTCTTTGCAACAATGCTGATATCACCACTCTCTCTGCGTACATCATCATTACATAATGAAAATACATTATTTCCAATAATATCTTTGTATTAGTCTAGACAATCTGTCTGCATGACTTCATTTTTTTTTTTTTTTTTGGATGGTAGAAATTCCATTTTATAATTATAATTCAATAGGATAGTTCCCCAGCGCTGTTTTCTATTTGCTGTATGTGTGGGAACCCCCTTTTTTTTTATTCATATATGGACAATAATGGATGATGGTCTGTCTGTAGTACAAATTCTCTACCATGTATAAATTTGTGAAATATCATGGCCAATGCTTCCTTTTCTATCTGGCTTGATCTCTTCAAAAGAACTTTGACATTTATCTGTCCAATTCCATTTCACATCTTTCTTCAGCAGGTCATTCAAGGGTGTTCTTAATTCATGCGTATTAGTTATATATGTATGATAGTAGTCAGCAAACCTTAAAAATGCTTGTAACTTTGTTACATTTATTGAAGCAGGCATGTCCTTTATTGTGCTTGCCCTTGAAGGATCCAGCTGTCTACCGTTTTTATCAATAATTTCTCCTAAATATTTAAATCTGGCCATAAACAATTCACATTTTCCTTCACTGATCTTAAAACCATATTCTTTGATTCTCTCAAAGACTTTCTTTACATCTTTTGCATCTTGCTTTCAGGTCTTACTTTTAATAAGTACGTCATTCAAATATGCTTGAGCACAATCCAAACTGGCAAGCATGGTACCCATTATCTGTTGGAATATGCTTGATGCTACCTTTATACTGAAAGGAAGTTGGTTGAATTTGTATAACCCTCAATGAGTGTTAATTGTTAATAATTTTGAGCAGTTTTTATCCACTAATACTTGTAGGTCTGCCTGGTCTAATTTAGAAAAAAAATTACCTCCATTCAATTTGGAAAAATTTCCTCTGGACTTGGTAATGGGTAGTTGTTTTAAACTTTCATTTAACCCTGTGGAAAAATCAGCACATACGCAGATGTTATTATTCCTTTTTTTAATGTAGATTGTTGGTGATGAACAGAATAGTCTATATATGATAACACACCTAATTTTTCTAGTCTGAATTAGATCTAAGGCTGTAAAAGGTACACTCCTTTTTGACTTAAATGTTGGTGTTACATTGTCTTTTAACTCAAACTTAGCTTTTGCTTTTGTGCATGTTTGTAGACTTTCTGAGAAAACTTCTGGAAAACTCTTTTTCAGTTCATTTTTCAGTTGCAGTATTAGTATCAGGGGTAACAATATTTATCTTGTTGCAAAAAGAGTTAATTGGAAGGTCCCAAAGATCAAACAATGCAATCCAGTCTGTTCCAAACAAATTAGCAGTATTCTTTAATACAAACAGCACTGCTTTTTTTTTTTCTCCCCACAAAAGAAACGTTACAGCTGAATTCACCCAAAAAGTTCAATCTCTTTCTTGAGACACCATGTGCAATTTTATCAGAAGTCAATAAACTGGGTTTACCCATTTTTCTCCATGTCTGTTCATTTATGATAGTGATATCAGATCCTGTATCTTATTGCAGTTTTATTTTTACATTATTAATTTGCACAAAAACAAATTTTCCTCGTTTTTTTTTTTGTATGTGCAACACATACTTTTGTGTCCTAATCTCCTACATTCATAGCAGTTTTTGTTCTTGAAGAAACAATCACTTTTAAAATGCTTACTTCCACAATTGTGGCAAGTATTAAGTATTGAGGGGGGGGGCAGTTTATAGTTTGTTTTTTTTTTACTCTTCTGTTAAGAGTTGAAAAACATTTGTAGTCACTATGTACCTGGGAATTTTCTTTTTCTTCGATACTTGCGGTATTGAGTTTCAAATTCACAATATGTTGACACTCTTCCATTATTTTCTGGAGAGTTAATTTGGAGTCCATTTCTAATTTAGCAAGTATCCTGGATCTTATCTCTGCATCCTTATTAGAAGTTAAACCCTGTACGAATATCAGGCATTTAAATAAATCATTTATAACTCTTGCATAAGAGACAAACTCTTCATTGTTTGAATTTACTAAGTTAAGGCATTGCCATTGTGTATTAAATAATGAACTATCACCAAAAATTATTGATAATATTAGAACAGTCTCATTAAAATTTATCTCTCCTGGTTTTTTTGGCAAAATATAATTTACATATTTTTCATGTTCAGCGGGGGACAATTTCCTGAATAATAACTGAACTTTCTTTTTATCATTCCAATGTGAACAATCCCTTTTGAAGATCCCTTCATATCTTCTTTAATAAGCTGGAAAAGTTATCCCTTCATCTGGATTGTATACAAATTTGTTGATTAAATTAACAACAGCATTTGGAGTGAATGAATCTGAAGTTTTTCCTTTCAGCGTTTTGGTAAACAACTCAAAAAGAACTTCTGCTGTTGTAGTTGTAATTATAATTGCTGTTCATGTTGTTGTTTTTGTTGCTGCAGTTGTTGTTGTTCTTGTAGGTTTTGTTGCTGCAACATTTGAACCATGACAGCTTTTAATTCTTCCATTCCACTGTACTCTGCTGAATATTTTGCAGATAAATTTTTTCCTCGTGTAAATTGAACAAATCCTCATCACCACTTTTGTGATGTCAACGAATACTCATTGTCACTTTTGTAATGCTTGTTTCAGTAGAGACTTTGTAATCACAGATACAATTACAGTAATGTCGTTGAACAATACTGGTGTCAGACGTCTCCGAATAACACTCACACTAATAGTACTTGCTCAATAATACTCGCTTGAAACGTAACCACTGGATAGTGATCTGAATAGTAATCCATATAGTGATCACTTAGATAACACAGTAATTTCCATATATACAATTCTTTTACCATCACATGATCTACTCATTCAAAATGGGATCACCTGTGTTTGCTCTCTGGTGATCTGTGTTCAAACTCCAGTGTCGGCAGTAACACTTTATTCCGATATAACAGTATACCAAGCATTTCACAATAACGAAGAAGCTGAAGCCATGGCTCTAGATATCTGTAAAGTGTTTGATAGGGTTTGGCATGCCGGCCTTCTTTGTAAATTTCAGTGATATGGCATTACAAGATGATTATTTGATTTAATACAATCATTCCTGTCAAATCATGAAATGAATGTTGTCCTAAATGGATTCTCCTCCAGTTCCTTTCTCACAAACGCTGGTGTTTCTCAAAGCTCTATCCTGGGTCCTACACTGTTTCTGATCTTCATTAACAATCTTTCTGATTCTTCTACTCCAACAGCTTATCTCGCACTTCCTCTTTGTAGAACTCCCTTTCTCTTACTTGCTTCCCTGATAGCTATAATCATCAAATATTCAAATGTAATGTCAATTGACATCTGATGCCTTGATCTAGTTCCCCGTCCTTCCCTTTATCCTTTCCTCAAACATGCCTCTTTACTCTTGCACTCAGTCTCTGTAACTCCTTGTATGCTAGTGGCACTTCCACCTTGCTTGGGGTGAAATGCTTAAAAAAAAAAAATCCATTGGTAGATATCGTTTGTTGGTTAGTAGCTTGAAATTAATTGACATCAAAGAAGTTAGTACAATTGTGAGAATTTAACACTTGAAATCTCCACAGAATCACAATGACCGCTAGGAAAAATCTCTGTAGAATCACAATGACCGCTAGGCAAAATCTCCGCAGAATCACAATGACCGCTAGGCAAAATCTCTGTAGAATCACAATGACCGCTAGGCAAAATCTCTGTAGAATCACAATGACCGCTAGGCAAAATCTCTGTAGAATCACAATAACCGCTAGGCAAAATCTCTGTAGAATCTGATTACCACAGCTTGCTAGTGTCAATATGTGATGACTATGAAGATAAAAAAACAATTAAATGATGACACCAATAACAAAGTGCTTTTTATACTGTGTGAGAACTTTGTATTATCATTTGAAAATGTGAGATTATTCTCAAATACATTGTGAACTTCACTTGCATGTAAAGTTGCCAAAAATATTCATCCATTAATTCAAATTTTGACTATTTGGGAGCAGGGACACATGAAAGTTCTTTTGGCATGAAAACTATTTCCATCCAGTATTATCAAATTATCATGAATTGTTTGTACTCCTTGTCATGGCACAAGAGATTAGTAACAAGAATTAGTTGTTTAAGATGAACTGTTGGAGCCATGAAATAATATTTTATTGCTTTAGTTGATATTTCATTTACTTTAAAGGTGATATTTTAAAGCAACATTTTCATGTTGAATCCATTGTTTTTTTTGTTTTTTTTTTAATATTTACAAAAGGACTTTGTTTGCTATTATGCTCATGTTCAGGATTTCATAAACCTATACAGGAATCTCAATAAATACAGCTAATGTGTACATTGGTAACTATAAAAAATTAATTTTTAATTACTATGGTTAAACTGAATAATGTTTTACCACACTAATCAAGTATTTTGTATGCATTAATTGAATTTTGGTATATAAAAGTTTAATGCCCTAATCAAAAATGTGTATTTATCAAGGGATGCCTAAGTATTGAGCTACTAAAATCTGCATTTATATTTATGTCATATAGGAATAAAATGTCACTGCCAACACTTGGGTTTGAACATGGGTCACCAGGGAGTAAGCACAGTTGATCACATCTTGAAATAAATAGATCATGGTACAAGTAAAGGATATATATATATATATATATATATATATATATGGGCATTAGCAGCGTCTGACCAGGTATTGTTCGAAGATGTTACTATTATTATATCTGACTTACAAAGTCTCTCCTTCAAACAGACATTACAAAAATTTAGTTGTCTGTACTTAAAATATGATGTCAATTATGTTAGTCTGCCATTTCTTTTTATTTCTTTAAATTCTGTTTGGAAAGCATTTCTTTGCATTTGATTTTTCCTTTTGATTTGTTTAGCTGGCCAAGAAATATCATCCAGATGTCAACAAAGATGATCCAACAGCTGCTAGGAAATTCCAAGAAGTTTCTGAAGCTTATGAGGTAAATACTTTTTTCTTTTTACCTTTCTCAAAGTGCAAATTTGGATATTTGCTTTAGTCAACTGATTGATCTAAATAAATAAATGGCAAATTCTGTCAGGTTCCATCCATATGTCTGAAACCCCCTCTTATTCAAGCCATACTTCCCCTACACAGACATACCTTTTTGGAATCCAGATGATCCCAGGATTGAAAATCTTCTCTTCATTTGGTGCTTGACCATCCAGTATTGGGATTTGTGTCCAGATGAGGAGAGAACAGTTAAAAATTTAAATTTTAAAATGACTGAAAAAAATTAGTGATTTTAAACATTTTTCATTTATATTGAGTTTAAAGTAGCACAAAAACTTTTTGAATTTAAAAAAAATTGTTTTAAATTCAGTTTAAAATGTTGCCAAAACTTTGTGAATTGAGGAAATCAATTTTATTTCTTCAAAATGGCAAGGAATCAAAATTAAAGTGAGAAGTTTCATGATGTAAGGTTTTGAGTTTGTGATTTGAAGAACTCAGTTTTCAGCTCAAATCGGTGTTTTGACTGGAATTGGACTTACAGAGTTAAAGTGAGGTTTTGAAGTTCCGTGCAGTTAATTTAAAGGTATTTCTTCAAAATTATCATTGCTGTTTTCTAAGCTGGATGAGAGGTTCCTTTAGTTTTAGGCTGGAGACCCAATAACCCCTCTGCAGGAGCTAGCTTAAAAGGTCTACATGGAGTGCAGCTTTTAAGCTAGTTTTTTAATAAATTTAACATGTGCAGCATGATTATTTTGCTACTAGATATCAAAATTGTACTAAAGATTACTTACTCTGTAAGTAATTTTTTTAAAATAAACTTCATATTAAACAAACTTTTATGGCTTGGCTTAAAATAAGTGCATCATCTTTCCACTTTTTGTTTATAGGTTTTGGTGTAAATTGTAATAACTGATTTGTTTAAAGAATATTTATATTTTGCTTGAATTATTTCCATTTATTAGTGCATTCAGTTTTTGATAGGAAACAGCTTTCCTCAAAAGTTTGGGAAATGATAGACTAGGAAAAAATTTACATTATTTAGACAGAAACTAGAAAACAAATTTGTGAAATAAATTCTAATAATTACAATGGGTAGCATTCTTATGGTTAGTAATTTATTTCTGTGCTTCAAATAGTGACATTGTTAACAATACATCACCATGTTAAAATTATTTTTGTTCCAAATAGGCTCAGATTAAAGATTGCTTGTAATGGGAATTGTTACATTATCAACCTGTACGTGATGATACCTTTTCAGGTGAAGTGTGTGTTCATACTATTCTATATGCTGATTAAGTATAAGGAGCTGAAACCTGGGAAATGTGTTTTTTTATATAGAAACAGGCCAAAGTCATATTGTCTACACATATCAGACTGCCATTTTGCTTTCAAAGTAAATATGATGGCTGAGAATATTTGTGGACATCTTGCTTATTTAATGTTATGTCACATTAATAAAAGTTGCAAGAAAAAGATGAATTGAATTTTACTTGAAAATGTTGTCTTGTAATTATTTTAAAAATTAACATCCTTTTTACAATAATGATTTGTTTTAATTTTTACATTCAAATTTGACATTTTTTTGTCTATGAAAGTAAATCTCTTTCCACTGCCAAGACCATAAAAATGTTGAAAATTTCTATAATATTCATTTATCCACCTATTTTACTTTAGGTGCTGGGAGACACAAACAAGAGAAAAGAATATGATTTATTTGGAATGACTGGACAGCAAGCTGGCTTTGGGCGACAGCAACATCAAGGTTTCAGACAATCAAGGGCGGGTAAGATATTAGTTTTTTATAAATCCAGATTGTATTTTTATGTTATTATATGTATGTGTGTGTAAATTATGAATAATTTCATGACTTATCAGGTCTGTATGTATTTAAAACAGTTATTCTACAAGGGGAAAAATTTGGGGGCTTGACCTACTTCCCAAAATCTGATCAAATGTGACCATACATCAGAATTTTTTTTAAAATGCTGACAATTTTTGCAGAACTCACTTTATAATTGGTATGAAAACTCTCTGATGTTTGATCTTTTGAATGTTTCAAACATTTAAATAACTGGAAGGAAATACTTGGGTGCTATAATGGATTTTCCAAAATTATTTTAAAAGTGAAAATTGAATAAATGAGTCCTATTTGAAAGTCACTGTTTATTTTGAAGCTAACGGAATTTAAATTTTAGTTGTAAACAAAATTGTAAATTTCACTTGCATTTTATTTTGAATTGCTCTTGTAGAAAAATGGAAAGTTTTGTGAATTTTATAAATACATGAAGATAGTAATCAGTTAATATGAGAGGGTGCTGAAAAGTTCTCTGCCTAACCAAGAATCTCTTCTCTCACTGTCAAAAAAATATTCTGATGTTTGGTCATTTGGACAGATTTTGGAAGTAGATATTTCAAGAACCTTTCATTATGCCCTTATATTTTAATGTAACATTATACAAAAATGGTGGATTTTTTAAAGAATAAAAAACAATGCTTCACTTTTTGCTGCCTGATCATTGTGAAAAACTAAAGAAATATGTTATTCTTTAAATTGGTTTAATATTTTGTTCTTTTTTTTTATGGTGGATCAATATCATTTTGCAAACATACTTTATTTGGAAAAATAAATTCTGAATCATTTTACTTGTTGTTGAATTAAAGTATTCGTCTTAATATTTGTACACATCATCAACTTATTTCTACTTAACAAATTTAATTAATATTAAAATTCTGGATTGTTGATTTTAGTAATGCAAAGATAATTCCAAAGACTTTTATCTTCATAAAACAACAAATTTTAATGCAAAATTGTAGCATTTTTATTTTTTATCATATGAAAAGAAAAAGCAATGCTAGTTATATTGTTAATGCAAAGAAACTATTGTTTTTCTTTTTGTTAGGTTTTGAAAATTTTCAGAGTACAATCAACCCTGAAGAATTGTTCCGGAAAATTTTTGGAGATGCTGGCTTCCGAATGTCTGGCTTTACAGACTTTCAAGATTTTGAAGAGTCAAAATTTGGTTTTGCACCAGCCTCTGAGGTGATATTAACATGAGAAAATTACTTAGTTTTTAATTGGAGTTAATGAAAGGATTCTCAAAAAACCCTTTTATCTTGACATTATTCCTTTAAATGAGACAATAGATGATGGATATTGCAATTTTTCTCAAATTACTGGGTTTCTTATTGATTTGATTATGAGGAAGTTCTCATCAAAGTATTACAAGTGAACCAAAAATAGTTAATCTTTCTTGTAGTCTAGTTGGTTATTTCAGAAATGATAGAGATTCTGAATCCTGGTAATTAAAAAAGCAAAATTGAGGCTATACTAATATTTAGAGATCTTCTGACTTTGGTTAGTTTAGGAATGTCCTCAACCACCTCCCATGATAAATAAGACTGCCTATAGCAACATTTAGCTGCCACTCATATTGTTCAAGTCACTTTTCAAATGTGGTTTTGCTAGAATCTCTGATCTTTAATGTTAATATCTAAATCTTTACCTGATTTTTTGCTCAAAGCATCTTATTTTTATGTGTTGTACATAGCAATAGGTTGCTACACAGCATACATACATAGCCACGTTATTTTTTTGTTGAGATATTATTATGGTATTAATCTTGTACAAAACAAGGCAAGGTTTCACAAAACTGAATGCTCTTCTTGACACAACTTGGACACTTACTATAGGAAGGTTGCTATTCAAGGCTTGAGACCCCAACCTAGCCATGTATATAATATATATATATATATATATATATATATTAAGAAATGGACAAAGTCCGACAATTTATTTATTAAAGACATTTTTTATGTTTAACGTTCTTTTTATAGATACAACCTGCATCCTATAAATGACTGTTTATAATAAACAGTATCAAATAACATTTACCAGCCTGAATGTCGAAAATTTTCATATGAAAATTTCGTCCTTTGACATTCAGGTCGGTATAAATGTTATTTAATCATTATTTATTATAAACAGAGCATTTACTTAAATACTTGTATCTATAAAAAGAATGTTAAACATAAAATGTCTTTTAATATATATATATATATATATATATATATATATACACGTATAATATACATATGTTGGCTGTTTTCTCCCATGAGAAGCTCATCCATACTTTGACAGGTCTTTTTTTTTTCATTTAGTGAGGGTGACATGCCACCGTGCTCACCAGCAGTAAAGCTAGTGGGGGGAGTTGGTTTAGATGTCAACCACTTGTCCATCTGTCAGGTTGTACTGGGTTACATCTTACCATTAACAGGCCTAACCCTGACAGCAAGTTATGCTTTTTCTTTTAATCACAGAGATTGCTAATAATATATAGCAGAGATAGAAAATCAAATCAAAAGGACCTTCATTTAAATAATATTTTCTATATAAGACACACTTGTCTGAATGGTAGAAAAAATGTTGTTTACAAGTTTAAACAATAATAAATTTTAGAGTTTGAGAAGGAGGACATTTTTTTTTTAACTCCTAACGGATATACTATGTTTGTGTTTTTATAGTAGTTAATATATTTGAACAAATTATTGAACAAAATGTACTTTTTGTTTTCAGATTTTCATGAGCTTGTCTTTTGAGGAGGCAGCACGTGGTATAAATAAAGAAATAAATGTGAATGTCAAGGACACTTGTCCTAAATGTCAGGGTAGGAAAGCAGAACCAGGCACAAAACCTGTTAGATGTCACTACTGCAATGGTACAGGAGTGGTAAGTAATAACACCATTTTAATATATAGTTGCAGATATTTATATTATATATATATATATATATATATATATATATATATATATATATATATATATATATTTTATTTAGCATGTTTTCATTAAGACATGTCTCATTGAATAATTTAAACAAGTTTTGTCTACTTATTTTTAGTAGGATCCTGACAGACAAGCTTCTTGGCAGCCTTATTAAAGGGAGAGAGAAAATTACCATGTTGATATATATTCATTTATTCCAAGTACTTTCAACATTAGTACAATGTCATCATCAGGGTGTTGTTTTTTTTTCTAAGACAATTGTTGTGCTCATTTGAAAGTTAAATTTTACAACAAGCATGCCTATCCACATTCGTAATTTAGGAAAATTTTTGCTGAAAATACATCTATATTTTTTATGAAAATAATAAACTAAAAATTCTTGAAACTATCTCTATTAAAATATTGAAACCAACCCATAATAAACTTAATTATGAATGCTGCACAAATGTTTTAAAATGGTCACAGCTGATAGTTTAAAATATCTAAGTTTTAACTGATATTCTTTTGTTTTTTAAATATATGGACATTTCAAGACTTAGTTATCTCACCTGATGTTTGCATTGTTAATTTAAATTGTACAGTACATAATCTTAGCATTTCACACTTCAAAGTTAAAAATTTTATTAAAAAAAAAACATGTTGATGATGACATATCAACATAGTAATTTTCTCTCTTCCTTTATTAAGGACACTAAGAAGTATTGTTATATATATATATATATATATATATATATATATATATATATAGATATATATATATTTGTTTTTATTTAAAAATAAATAAAACATATATTTAAATAAAAACCACTAAGGTTCCATGTAATAAATTATTTCACCACAGCCTTTTTAAAGGACTGCGGATCGTCAGACTTTACTTCTTTATGAGCTCTCTGGATTTTATCCTCCTTAGGTTTTCCCATATGGATTACCTAGTCTTTCATAAACTAAATATATATATACATATATATACATACACACACACGCATATTTGAGTAGACTTTCAGTTTATTAAAAAGTATATTTATTTTTCTCTATTGGCCTAAATATTCAAGAAATCTTATTAAAGAAAAATATGTGCTCTCTGGCAAGATTTGAACCTGCATCATCCTTTGCAGGAGAAACTATGGATGAATTTTTCTAGAGCATGTCAGATCTAACAAAATTTTTGAAAAATACTTTTATTGATGTATCAATGTTTTTACTGTTTAAAGTCCAATGCTAAAATGGAATTTGAAGTGTAAACAATGTACAATGTGCGATAGATAAATTGTCGTCTAAATTATGCAAAAATGAAAATAGCACTGACATCTTATTTTAGCAGATATATTTACTAAAATTACACAAAAATATTTTGAAATACTAAAGAGTAAATTTATTCAATAAAATTGCCATTGGCTTAAACCACGGCCTCCAGACAACTTCAGAATCTCCTGCAACTCTTCTAGATGGCCTCCTTGTTTAATAGGTGAATGCTACCATAATCCTTGCTTTCAGTTCATCTTTGGTGTTAAAAGGAATTTTGTTGGGCTGTCACTTAACTGTGACAGTCTGTGAAGTTAGGTGGCTAGATGTAAGGGGTGATGTGGTCGCAGAAATTGTCTGTCAGCCATGACTGGGTTCTCCTGCTTGTGTGGCATGCTGCAGAATACCTGTTGCCAAATATTGGGTTTTCCAGCATCCACACTTTTGACCCAGGACAACACTACCTCCTCAAAGAACTTGATATAGGCCTCTGTGTTGAGTCTGAGGCCCTCACCAATAAATTTGGGAGTTCTTTTCTTATCAGAATGATCAGAGTGAGTTTTCTGAGCTACTGTACCTTCATAATCACCATTAGACTCATCCAACTCATTCTGAATCCTTTGTACTGTCCTCAGATTGACATCCAAACACTGAAATGTTCATATTAGAGCCTCTGGTGTGAATGCCAAGTAGTACAGCATGCCATTTTTTTCAAATTTCTGGCAGAGTGAATTGCGTCATGGTGCTCTTTCTGTCATGGATGGTGCCCAACTGACCCCCTCATACTGTGCAGTTGACAAAATCCAAAACAAACAACATGCATGTGCAAAATTAAAAAATATAAAATGGCGATAATTTACCCATCACTCCTGTATATCTGCATAGCTTCTTATAAAACATGCTTATCATTTTAGTTTTTATTGATTTTGTGAATATTCTTTAAGCCAAGCTAAATTTTTCTAAGCCCATATTTATAAATGTAGTACAATCTGTTTATGAAGGTGATAAATTTGTTTTTGTATTCAAACTTTAGTTGAAAGCAGACACATTTTTGTTGTATTCAACAACATCAAAAAAGCACTAAACATTATCATTAAAATTTCAGCAATAAAAGTGTGGAAATAATTTCTGCAGAAATGGTCTTGTCTTATTCAAAAATACATTTTCTTATATTTCTTTATCCTTTCAGTATTTGTAATTGAGAGATAAAAACGAAAACCTTTGAATATTTATTCTGCCCAAATCATATTCATGTGTTTATATGTCAAAAAATCTCATTTCAGAATAAATTTATTTTAATATTCAATTATTGAATGTTTACTTTTATTTTATTCATTGTTTATAAAACACTGTTGTTTCTTTCAGGAAACGGTGAGTACTGGCCCATTTGTGATGCAGACAACTTGTCGGAGATGTCATGGGACCAAAATCCTTATCAAAACCCCTTGTACAGAATGCAGTGGTAAAGGACAAACTATATTGCGCAAAAAAGTAACAGTACCTGTTCCTGCTGGTAAGTCAATCTCTGCCTGAATATCTTCAGAATTCATGTGATACTGAAATATTGCCATGTTTGTGTTATTTACTTGTTAACTAGTTTTAGTTATGAAAGTGTCTTTGTAAATTTTTTCATAAGTATTTTTTTCGTCTTGATCTCAATTGCTTTTGATCACAGCTACTCAGACTGTCGCTCTGTGATTGTTAATCAACAAAGAAGATTGGAAGTAAAGTATAAGCGCTTTGGGAAAAATCAAATTTGCATCTCCTTTTATCTCAACATTATCTATGTATGACAGGCTGCTCTCTTCCACTATGAGAGCCAAGGGGACAGAAGATCAAATCTACTAATATATATATATATATATATATATATATATCCATCAAAATACTCAGCACTGCCATAATAATGTTTCCTTTATGCACACTGGTATTATTTACAATCTACAATGTTTACTAACAACTTTAGAATGAGGTTCTGAGCATTTGTGAGGAAAAACTTTTCACTTGATCTAATCCTTGTAATTTGTGTGCATATGTGTGTGAGTTGATTGCTTAAGGCATGAAACTGACTCACCATAAAGTGTTGATTTTTACTGTCCATACTGTTTATATCTACAAATGTTCTATCCTAGATATTTAGCATTCTTCCTCCATACCAAATTTTCATCAATATTAATGCAGCATATCAGATCCATGAATTTTGTCATTCCTTTTAAAAGAATTTGTTTAAAATGAAAAGTTTGATTTTTTTAAAAAGTTAATTCTGCTCTTGTTCCTACTAAATGGGCATTACTTGGAATTGCAATCCACTATATATATATATATATATATATATATATAAGTATTGTCTGTTACATGTCCATTGTTTTTTTTTTTTCATTTGTAATTAAAAATTAAATCAATGTAAATCTTTGGCTAATAAGTCCCGAAACATGTACCAACATTCAATCAAAAGATATACAGATTTTGTTTATGATTCTATCATGTCAATTGAATGATTCAACAAGTTTTTACTTGACATATACACACATGATCATTTCCGGTGTCTTTTTAAAGTGTATCAATGCATCCTAATTAAAATTAGAGTGAAATATTTCTGAAGATTGCATTATTTGTTTTGTCTATGTCTCTGATAGTGATTGTAAATTATCAAAACTTGCACTTGCTACATGAATTAATCATGTATTTGTTTTAAGAAAATGTCATAAGTAATTGTACAAAATGTAAGACCAGAAATTACTCAAGATTTTATTTTGTTTTTTAAATCTGTACATAGTTGCATGAAAATATAATTTTTTTTCACAGATTCTTAAATCATTCTAAGTATAAAAATATCATACAGGGACTTTTTAATGGATGACTTTGCCAATTTTGTGATTTCTTTCAAAACTCCTCATTTTATGAAAGAATAATTGTATTTTCCCACTCGATAACAAAAAAATTATTTTACTGATTTTAACTTCACTGTACTTAACAAATACAATAATAAGTTAGAAGTAAGAGCAAAATTATTGAAAACTTACTTTTTAGTGAATAGTTATTGTGGCTGATTGAGATTTTTACTGATTTGCTTTGTGTCTTTAGAAAATAAAAAACGTTCTTATTGCCTTCACTTTTATATGATCATAATCTGATTGTAACAATTTCAAACTTAGTAAAATAATTTTAAAGTTACTTTTCTTGTATAAACTTAACAGCAAAAAAGAATTGATAAAGCAAATGATTTATAAATTGATAAAAAAGTTATTTTTGTGAAAGTTAAATTTTTATCAGTTCTATTTTCCCTATTATTTCAGGAGTGGAAGATGGCCAGACTGTGAGAATGTCAGTTGGCACTCAAGAACTTTTTATCACTTTTAAGGTAAACATAAAACCTGTTACCATTTTAGTTCAAATGCATTTCCTATTGCAAGTGATTAGCTAGTAACTTTGATAAAATAGTCTTTATGGTAAATAGTAAAAATTTGTTTATAACCATTAAATACATTTGTTTATAACCATTTAATACATTTAGACACAAATAATGGTAAAAAATGCTTGTACATATATAACAGAACAAAGTTTAAAATTATACTGATATCAATTCTTCTAGATACTGTGTCCCTTCAGGACATGGGTGGTCATGGATCTTCACAACTTCCTATCTTTGTAGCTCTTAGTAAGGTTTGTCTTTTTTTCTAATCTGCTAAGTTCATTAAGTAGGTTATTTACCATTTACCTCTTTCCCTCTTACCTTCAATATGCCTTGAGTTTCTAAACCTTCTCTCCTCATTATTTCCTTTAGAAATTTGAATTGTCTCTATCTTATTCTAATTAAAGCATTTTTTTCTTTCCATATTACTAAAACATCTTTGTTACTGACATGTTCAGTCAATGATATTCTCAATCATCTGTAGGACAACATCTCTGTTGCTTCAGATCTTTTCATCTGTGAGGAGAACACTGCCATTTAGGAAGACTGAATATTACATAACAATTCAGCACTCTTTACATTGTTTCTAATGAAATTTTCTTTTTTCTTAATACTTTGCTTAGCTTTTGGAAAGCAACTTTTGCTATTCCATTGTACTTTTTGAATTTTGGTGTCACAATTTGTGTTCTCTGTTAAAACACTTAGATATTTAAATTCTTGTACTTGCTTGATTTTGGTCTCTCCAATTTGTAGTTCACATCTCAGACTCTTCCTTTTGATGACAACCATAAAATCTGTTTTCTTACAATTAATGTTTACTTCTTTCTTTTAACTTTCCTTTACTTCCTTCTATAGGAGTTCCTGTAGTTTCCTTTCTGCCGTCTGCTATCAACATAAATCTGATGTTAAGATTGTGCTTGCCAATAATGAAACCTGGTAGGACTTGTAATTCTCACAAATGGACCAGTACTCACTGTGTTTCTTAAAAGAAACATTAAGGAATAAAGTAAAACAAAAATCTAATAATTGAATATTAAAATAAATTTATTCTCAATAAATTGAATAGTTCTCGTAAGGAGACACATCCTTGTTTTACACCCCTTTCTATTTTTGTATATTTACTGAATTTATTTTCTATCCGTATGAAGGTGATTTGTTGCCAGTATAAGTTCTGGATTATTCTAATATCCTTCCCAAATATGTCAAGGTTACCTAACAGTTCTTTCTGATGTACTTTATGAAACACTTTTGTATAATCTATAAGACATAGGTATACATCCTTCTGCATTTGTGTTGCTCTTTCTGATATCATTGTGAATATAAAAATATCACATTCTTTGTTTCAGTGTTTTTAACAAAGCAGCACTGTTCTTGTCCCATTTCTGGTCTAATTCTGCTCCATGCTCTATTCATCAAAATTTGGATAAATTTTGTTATATGGTTCATAAGACCAATTGTCCTGTGGAGCTTGCATTCATTTTCACCTGGCTTCTTAGGTAAATCTATAAAAATGGATGTACTAAGGTTTTCTGGTATATCAACACTGTTATATATTTTATTAATTATTTCTGTAATTTCATCAATGTCCATATCATCTAAGGTTGCCAATATCTTTATGACAATCTCATCTAGTCCTAGTTTTATTCCTCCTCACTTTGGCCTCACTCCAGACTTTAATATTTCTGCTCCTTCCATATTTTTATATATTGCAAATTTTCTTCTTTTGTCATGGAAGAGTTCACCAAAGTATTTGTTCCCTTTGAAGTATTTTTTCTTTCTCTATTGTCAGTTTTCCTTCTTTTGATTTTAAAGAACTGGGTTTGTTTTTTTCTTTACGTAACCAACTACAGAAATTTAAGTTATGCAAATTTTAACTTTGTTTACATTTTAATGTACACTTCCTTTTTAACCATTAATTTTTTGTTTCATTGATTAATTAAGGATGAAAATTATATATTTCTGTTTTCAATGAAAGTCAGTGATTGTTTTAATAGAAAAATAAAATTGCAGTACTCTGAATATATTTCAATTTACTTAGGATTGAAAGCACAGGCAATGTGGCTGGATGAAAGTAAATAATCACATATGCAACTCTGTATGTGCACAGGTTCCAAAATAAAGGCATGTATCAAGACTACTCAGCCCCTCCTCAATATTAATAACTTTTGGAGGCATTAACGCAGACCTGTACTCTTGCAATGTATACAGTCTTAAAGATGGTGATTACTATCATGCAATACATTACTTCATGTTTCTTGCATCTGTTGATGCGATATAACAAGTTACTGAAAGAGTCAATTATTGTTCCATCATTTCCTATACACGTTCATTGGTGATTGGACCAGTTAGGGAAATTGTTGAACATCTTGCAAAATATGTTGAGAAGTATGCACATCATATGGACAAGCATTATCCTGATAGAAGAAGATGGTAACAGAATGAAATGAACAATCCATGTACATCATACTGTTAACTGTTTTGTTAACAAAGCACTAAAGATAAATGAGTTGTAACTTGTGGCAGTCCCACATTGCAATGTTTGGGTCTGTGTGTCATGGGGAATTAAACTTTGGAAGGAAAGCAATTGACCATCATTTGTATAAAAGCAATTTGACCACTTAGGTGAGCTTCTCATGACAACAGTGGAGCTGTGTATGATGGTATTGTGACATAAGTGGAAGTCTGGCTAGAGTCACACATGTACCCATAGTCTTGCTGTAGGTCAACTATTCCCAACAGTCTGTGTTAACATTCCTGGGGCCACATTTGCTCTGATATCTGTTCTAGATGCTGTTTACCATTGCTGCTCTTACAGCGTGTCAATCTTGGCAACTGTCTGTACCACATGGCCCTCCAGAACAAGTTCATAAGGAAAATTGATTTCAAACTTATTAAGCATTGTATTACAGAAATTAAGATAGAAAAAATAGGTCTTAATTATTAATTTTAAAATTTGAAAAAAAAAAAAAATTAAATTTTTTTTTTAAAAGCAGCTTTTTTAATTTTTTTATTTTCTACTAATTAAATATCCATATGTAACATGTACATTATGAAGATATTGATTGTGTACTGGAAACACTTGTTTCTATCAGTTGAGTTTATTCTGTATCCTAGTAAATTTAAAATCTAAATGAAAATTTTTATTTTTTGCAATAAATTTATATGAAATTTAAAAAAAAAAAGTTTTCTAACCTATTCAGTTGGTATCTCTAACTTTGTCAACTTTATCTTTCAGGTTGCAAAAAGCAAGTTGTTTCGTCGTGAAGGTGCCGACATCCATAGTGATGCTTATATCGGTTTGTCACAAGCAGTCTTAGGAGGTACAATAAAGATTCCTGGAATTTATGGAAGGCACATTGTCAATGTAAGTAATTTGTGACTCCCCCTCCCCTCCCACTCCCTTATAAGTAATGTAATCTCATCCGAAATTGATTAGGTTATTTTAAAAAGTCATTAAGAGAAAGCATTTTTTCTTTCTCTGTCATCAAATACATTTTCTTGATTAATGTTTGGTAATTCTCATTTGACAAGATGAAATAAACTTTGAATCCACTAGCCTGTAAAGATTAAGTGAAAATCAAAGCATTGTGAAGTGATCTAATTAGCATTTCTCAGTGTAAGCATTGCTCTCTATAGCAACAAAGACATTTGTAAATATATTTATTTGAATGATGATGAAATTGTTTAAGAAAAACATTTTTTTTTTTTAAACTTTTGAACTATTAAGCAAAAATGGACAGGAGGATGATCTGAATGTGATTGTCTTGCCCTGAGGGACATGTTATTCTGTTGTGACAGAACTAGATTATAGATATATATTGTAATAAGTCTATAAAATTTGCAATGCCAGTATATTTATTTAAAGAAAAGACTCGGTTTTTAAGAAATATGAGAAAATCTCAATTTGTGATATTTTCTGAATTGAATTTCAGTTGTAGTTAGCATGTTTATTTCAAGAAGACATTTGTAATTCAGTATTACCACATGATAGCATGGAATCGCTTTCCATTTTTTTGTCTTCAACGGCCTTGGAATATTTACTACCACCATAATAAAGTTTCCTTTCACTCTGCAATGTTTTTCATACTAGAATTAGTCTATGAATCCAATCATTGATTCTTCATTAACCATTTGAAAATGGCTGAAAAAATATTTCATATTACTCAAAGTAAGGCAATTTCATTTTTACAATTTAGTAATGAAGACAGTAGTATGTGTTAGTATTTATGACTATTGCTGGTAGATTTAGACAGTACCTTATAAACAACATTCTGGAATTTAAGTATAGTGGGAGATTAGGAAGAAACTTTTTTTTTTTTTTTTTTTTTTCCAAGTTGTGGGTCTTTGTCAGTGAATTGGATATTTTTTCAAAACAGTTTATAGATAATAATGAGGTTAGTGGAAGGAGGTGTTATGCAACACATTAATAACAAGAGATACAATTATTAGCAACCTCTTATAGAATAAATAAATGTAACCTGTTTCATTAAAACATCCTTGTCTGTTGGGGGGGGGAAGTGCGAAAAGAAATATTCCAATCCCAAATGATTATCATATGCTAGATTCTTTCTCTTTTTCATTTTTTAATTTCTAATGATGATTATTTTATGTAATTTATTTCATATTTGTAAATTGGTACTTTGTTTCACATGACCAAGAATTAATTTGCTTTTAGATTAAATCTTCTGTTTTATGAATTTTTGTTGTAATATCTATTCTTAATTTAATTTTTATAACCTTAACTTTTTCCATTTTGCAGATTCCGTCAGGCACCCAATCACATGATTACATCATGTTACCTCGGAAAGGCATTTCTAAAGTAAATAGCACAGGTTTTGGAGACCATTATGTACATATACGGATTTCAATACCAAGGTAAACTCATTTTGGTTATATTATTTGCTTTGAAGATTTTAAAATTTACAAAACACTTTTTTGTACATTTATTCATGAATAACTTTCTATCAGCTCTCTCTTTATATGCTTTGAGCTTAAAGTAACTGGCCAATTAATTAAAAAGAAAATTATTTTCAGCTAAACACTGATATAGTGTCATTTCTTTCTTATTTCAGATCTCTAACATCTTCACAAAAGGCACTTATTTTAGCCTATGCTGAGATTGACAAAGAAGTTAGTGGTACTGTTAATGGTGTAGTTGACACTACTTCTGGTAAGTTATTTGTATTATAGAAAGAATTGTTACTCATGCTGTTTCAGCATAGATCATAATTTTCACTGTAGGGCAAGAGGGATTGTGAGACAAAATAATCTTAGATTTTACTTTATAACAACCCAAGAGAATATGAATTTTACTTTTTAAAAATAGAGGACAATCACAGTTTTAAATGTTAATATAGATTCTTACTTGTACAGGGTGTGATGGATAAATTGTAGTCTAAAGAGTAAATTTATTCAATAAAATCGCCATTGGCTTCAACCATAGCCTCTGGAGGACTTTGGAATCTCTTGCATCTCTTCTGGACGGCTTCCTGTTAAGTTGGTAAATGCTGCCATAATCCTTGCCTTCAGTTCATCTTTGCTGTTACAAGGAGTTTTGTTGGTTTCTCATTCAACAGCATCTCACACATAATAATCAAGGGGCTTGCAGTCTGTGGAGTTAGGTGGCCAGATGTAAGGGGTGATATGGTTGCAGAAATTCCTTGACAGCCATGAGTGGGTTCTCTTGCTTGTGTTGAATAGTGAAGAGACCTGTTGCCAAACATAAGGTCTTTCAGCATCCACAATCTTAACCCTGGGCAGCACTACCTCCTCAAGGCACTTGATGAAGGCTTCTGCATTGAGTCCTGTGGGCAGATGAATGGAGGCATGACATCGCTAGTAATCACTTTAAATGTCTTTGTAATCACCATTAGACTCCTCCAACTCTTTCTGAATCCTCTGCACTGTCCTGAGATTGACACCCAAACACTCTGAAATATTTGTATTGGTGCTTCCAGTGCAAATGCCAAGCAGCATGCCATTTCAAATTTCTTGTGGAGAGAATTGTGACATGGTGCTCTTTTTCTCACAGAAGGTGCCCAACTGACTCCACTATAATGTGCAGTTGACAAAATCAAAAACAAACAATGTATATGCATGAAATTAAAAATATAAAATGGCAACAATTTATCTCTTGCATCCTGTATAATATTTGAGAGTGGAATAGGCATTTGTAATTTAGGAAATTGTTTATTTTTAAGATTTTTTCCCTTTCTTTTCAGAAAGATAATTTTCTTTTGTGTTAAAATTGTCTTGACTTGAACAATCTTAAATTTTACTTAAAGCTCCAAGCTGTTCAGAAAGGAAAACCTTTTTAAAATCACTCGATATACAGGGTGTCCCCCCCCCAATATTGACATCATTTAAAATGTGAATATCCGTGTAACTACATATCCCAGGCAAACGAAATTAAATAGGCTTCACGTTGAACAATAAAAGATTTATTTATCAAAATTCAAGCAAGATATTCAAAGGGATATAAATTTTATAACTGATTTCATAAAACTTCACAACTGTTCAATATGTGCACCACCTGTGACATGACAGCACCTCAGTGATTCTCTGCTTAAGTTCCTCTAGGATTGTAGGAAGAGTGGGGGATATAGACCTGTCCTTTCACATAGCTCCATAGAAAAAATCACATGTCAAGTCAGGTGAATGTGGTGGCCATTTCAACAGCACATTGTCATTATCACTACCACACCTAATCCATCTTACTGGTAGATTCTCATTGAGATAAGTCTGCATGGTCAACTTATTTTTTAACACATTTTTTTTTTAAATTTGAGATCATTTGAGCAGGAATTGGCTGTGTTATTAGGCTACAAAATGATGCCAATTTATTTGGGAGACCCTACATATAAGGTCGAAAGACTTATCTCGGCCAACTTCAAGTTTCAATAAATTTTTTTTTAAACTTTTTCTCATTTTGACTATTGCTGTTTCATTTTTGATACAGGGTGCTTTTCTAGTTTTACAAAAATCTTAACTTAAATAGATAAAATCTCAGTAATTTACATGTCTTTGTTAGGTGTAATAGATTTATATTTTATATAATTAGTTTTTTGTTTGTTTCAATTCAGTATAAGACAATTCTTACATATTTGAATGGTATTTTATTTTTTTTTTTAATATTGTTTTCTATTTCCATATACAGTTATTTTAATGGTAGGCAAAAGGTTTTCAATTAATTTATTATCTGTAGAAGTTGGGAGCATTTCCATTAATTTGTTTTTGAAACTTGACAAGGTGGGCAGTTTCAGCTTTGCTAAATTAGAAGGAACATTGACTCATTGAATATACTCTTTCTGTTTCTTGGTGACACTGTACCACTGAAAAATGTTTTTCTTCAGAAATTTACAATAATTCTTTGCATTTTTATTGACACTATCCTCAAATATGAAGAGAACTTAATTTTGCTGTCTAAAACACTAGTCCAAAACATTACTTTTTTTTTCTTTTCTTTTTTAAAGTTGTATTGATTGCTAATTTCTATGAAGGACCCAACCTTTAGCCATCAAATTCATTCAGTGAACCTCTACATTCATCATTAAAAATTACTGTTGTCAGTTTTCACATACATTTTAACCTTAACTTGCATGTTTTTCTTTGTGATGTTTACTTAAAGGTAATATTTTACTTATTTTCATGTCTTTAACCAATGTTATTATTATTCAGTATCTTTTCTCTCTTTTTACCTTTGCAACTTTTACCAATAATTTTACTGATTTTCAAATTTGGCTGGAATTATAGCTTTTCATTGGTTCCTCAATCACTAGTTTGCTGGATACTTCTGTTTCAGTAAAATGAATACATTTTGATTTTATGGTAAATATACTAGCTTATTCAAAGTAGAAAAAAATGAACTGCATTTATTGTTATATATTGCTTCTGCTTTTGAAGAATGTCACTATTTGACATTTAGTAGGTTAGAATTCAGATTAAATGGAGATCTTAAAGTTTAGATTTGAGTATTTGTCACTTGAAATCTTATAAATATGAGCTTCACTTCTGGATAGTGATACAATTCAGAGGAGAAAACCCAAAAACTGCAATAATTATAAACTATTAAATAATCTGGTATTTAAACATTTGATTAAACTGTATGTTTCATTCTAAGATTAATTGTTTGGGAATGTCTGTTTTTATAATGTTTGCATGAAAACTAATCCCTATATAGTTACAAATTTTTTCTTACCTTTTGAATTTTATTTATTTTTGATCTGACCTCCTATTTAAGTTTCAGTATTTAATCTAACAGAATTTATTATATGAGCAAGTAAGACACATTTTAATAAGAGAAAACTTTAAAATATCTTGTTTTATTATGTTTGCTTTTACTTGGATTAAATGACTGAGGGGCAGATGTCCTGAATTTTTTTTTATTTATTTTTGTGGGTTAGCAGAGAATAAGTAAATTTATATGTGGGGAAAGGAGCTGCCTATAAAGTTTGTGTAATATTTTTTAATTTATATATACCGTATATTTACATATATAAGACGACCTTAAAATCCCCAAAACCACCTTTAAAAATTGGGAGTCATCTTATACTACAATTTTAAAAAATAAACCTTAAATTCTGAGTGATGTTTGTCACTAGGCTAACCTCAGCCTCAGTACAATAACCAATGACGTAGATGAAAAGATTCATATTATCAAATAAACTGATAATAAAAGTAATAAAACCATTTCTACCTCATATATTACTGGCATAACTTCATTATAAATTGCTTATTCAAAGAATAATTCCATATGAATTAAATCAACTTGTATCCAGACAAGCTCAGCTGAGAATATGTGAACATTGAATTACAATTGTGCTCACAGCAATCTTTATATATCACTAAACTTTCAATAATGAAAAAAGACCGAAAAAAAAAAAAAAATGCTGAAAGTTGAATAAACTATTATCGTACATTAATACTGTATTTTGTGATTGTCGATGAAGTATAAGTAAATGGCCATTAGTACACCAGGCTATTTGTAACTGTTTAGATATAGGAAAAGAAGAAGAATCAGTATTTGCAAAAGGTCATGTGATGAAATGTAAACAAAACAATGGCTTCCCTTTTAGGGGAGTGTGTGGTGGAAACATGTTATAGAATCAGTTTTATTATTTTGTCTATTTTGAAATTCTAAGGCTACAGTAAGTAACATTTCCAGTAACATCATCTTTGTATAATCAATAAGCAGTTGTCTTATGCTACAGGTATAGGATAAATTCCTGAAAATTAGATATTTTTTTATTTTGTCTTATCTGAAGGTCACCTTATATGTGGAAATATATGGTAATAAGACTATAATATTGAATTTCTCAGAAACAAATCAAAATTCTGTTCAGATGCTTTTAGCTGAAACTGTGATTAATTGATTTTTATGATTTCTATACTGATAAAAATTTGTTTTTTGGTACGAGGATTGAAATGTTTTTGACCCAACTTACTTTCCAAAATCTAACACAAATTCAGAATTTTAAGTCTTTTCTTGATTGGGTTAAAAACTTTTTAATACTCTTTCCATACCCTTGAATGTTTTCAAAATTTTCATGTAAATTAAAAACTTAACAAAGAGCAGGACAAAAATCTTTAATTTTTTATAAATGCTTAATGTAATCTGATACCTGCTCTTTTTTTTTCTTTTCTTACCTAACTAAACAAATAACTTTGCAAGTGTTTAACACAGTGTAGGAATTAACTCTAGCCCCCCTCCCCACCAAAAGAAAAGATTTAAGGCAAAAAGAAATTGATTATGTAATTCTGTGACCTTCCTCTCTTTTTCAGATGGGAAGGAGGAAAGCACAGAAAATGTTGCGGGACAGAAAGCGCCCCCCAAATCAGAACCGTCATCAGATGATGATGGCATTCTAGAGAGACTGAAACGTAAAATATTCGGTTAATTAAGAGTGTGTCTATGACCAGTTACACAAAAATATGCCGAAAGGGTTCGTCATAAGTTTACTACCATCTTTTCTTTTTTTTTTATCTATTTTTCATTTCTTTCTCTGCCCATTCTTCTTTTCTCTCTGCTAAACCCACTTTTCCTTTGTTTTGTTTTTTTTTCTCCACTTGATAAGTTAAATAATTTAATTATAAATTAATTTATAGTTATAATTTCAGTAGTTATGCCTCTGTTACTCCATGTTAAATTTAATTTTTACTTTCTGTCTTATGACTTGATCACCTGGCTATAACGGTTGTGTTTCTTTATGCTTCTTTCTGGTTGTAGACTGTTGTTAAGGAAGTTCTTTAAAATAGGACTTCTTTCTTGGTATTCAAGATTTGCTTTATAATGATTCTCAATTATCCAAATCTTTGCCCATTAAAAATCCAAAAGAATGAAAAGGTTTTTGTTTTCGATGGAGCTTCTTTATATATAATTAGCCAATATTTAACTCTGACTTTCTGAAAAATTCTGTGGATGCTTTACGAATATTTTGTCTGAGAATGTTTTTTTTCTGGCACAAAAAGAAACTTTATTAGCATCTTTCTATATAATTCAATATTGATATGCTTGATTTATATTTCTACTTTCTTTGAATCTGACTGCAAACGAATTGAAAATTGGGAATAAAGCTGTTCTAATAATGTATATGGTTGGATTTTGATATTTCAGATATATTTTGTATGTAAATATTTCTTTTGACAAATTCTTCCTTCAAGATGATTGATATGGCTGTTTTCCCTCTTTATTACTGACAAGCTAATAAAAATGTTAAATTTACTTTCCTATAAAAAACCTAATGACCCAACAATCTCTCATTAATATATTATATGAATTTTAATAGAAATAGTTGAACAATGATGTTCAGGTTTTTAAAAAAATTGAATGTCAAATAAACAAATTATCTTTTGTTCTTATATAGATTTTTTTTCTATTGTTGATTGGTTAATAAGGGATAAAAAAAAAATTCTCATTTCCAATTTATTATGGTTTTTTTCATTTTCATTTGTTTTAATCATTTATTTTGGATACTTCTCTAAATCACCTAAAAATAAGTATTTTCTGTTTTTATTTTCCAGTTCTTCATTTCAGTCAATAAATTATTTCTGCTATTTTTTTTTCTTTTAAAAGTTCTTCATTATTTCTTTATCTTATTGAAATTTTCTCTGATCTGAAGTCATTGTCATATCCACCATCGCAAAAGAACAAAAAAAAAACAATGCTACAAATTTACATTATTTGTTATTTTATTTTTATCCTTTTCTTGTTTATTGATTCTAAAATATATAACGTAACATTTTTATAAACAAGGACGTATTTTCAAATTTGTAGGAAAAGCATTTTGAATAACTATTATTGATATTATAAAAATCTTATTACTGTAATTGATATATATATATATTTTTTAAACTGATTTTATTATAATATCAGGATTGCAGTAAGTAAAACTACTTGTAGTTAATTAATGTTGGTTATTGTGGCACTAAGATAGTCTGTTATTATTTTTTAGGGCGCCAGGTGATGGATGATGATGATGGCCTGATATCACGGATACGAGACACTGTGAAAAACTTTCATGATGATGATGGAGAGTCTACAAAAAAGAAAAAAGATGCTCTATAAAAAAAACAAAAAAGCTTCTCTTTAGATTGTGAATTTTTCTAAGTCTCAGTCTTAAAAATGGGGAACTTTATAGTTCAGCTGCTTATTTGGTTAAAGTGCAAGGGCAGCAATAGAGCCAAAATTGATCTAGAAATTTGAATTTTAAAAAAGAGACCATGAAGACACGTGTATTCCATATATAGGGAAGAGCATGAAATTATAGAATTTTGGCTATTGCTGTCAGTTGGAGGATCATAAAGGATTTTTGTCAGGCTTGAATTTCTATTTGAAAATCTCTAGAGGATAGAAAAATGAATCTGCAGCAATCCTATTCAAACATTTTTTTTAGTTTGAAGCCAATTTGAAAAAAGTATTTTAAGGCTATTTTTTTTCTTAGTTCTTTACCTAAAAAGTAAAAAAAGAATTTTACTTTATTACAAAGATAACCTCTTTAATTTGTTTTCTCTTCTAATATTGGGATACATCTAATTTTTAAATTCATATAGGCAATATGAAAGGAACATTCTTTAATAGAACACTGGTAATGCCAATTGATTGTTAAGCAACATTGTGCTTGGTCAGTACCTACTTGATAGTTCCAAATATTGGTATTAAAAATCAGCAATCAGTTATTGTACCAAGTTTTTAGTGCAGATGACATTGTCTTGGAAAGTAATTGTCAGTTAATGTGTTCCTGTTGGCATTTAACTTTGCACATGAAATTTGTTTTTTTGTAATGAAATATAATCATAGATTTGTTTCACAGCAGCCTTATTGTTAATATTACTTGTAATTTGTTTGCCAGCCATTGTTAGCGACAACTTCTTTGCAAAAGATGTTCAAAATAAAACTTTGTCATGTCTTTTCTGAGAATCCTGTCATATGAAGAAAATATGAGAAATAAGTCAGGAAAACAAACTGGTAGTCCAATTTGTAATTGATTTATAATCACTTGATAGGCATAAGCAAAGTTGGCACTTGTTAGTCAAAGCAAAAGCCAATTTGGTGAACTTAATGTTTCTTAAATGCACTTTTTGATTAAGTATATTGAAAAAAAAAAACATCCAAGAAAATTTTTATTTATTAATCTTTTACCTGATTAGTATAAATTAGCATTTAAGAACACCAGGTGCTGTAAATTATTAAAAAATAAAACTCAAGGCAATGTCTAGTGCTTGCAAAATCTGTACTGCTCTGTTGCATAAATCTCAGTTGACTAAAAAAACAAAAAAACTTAGGTAGATGTGTAAAGAAAATAAAACTTTTTTTTTTTTTTTTCAAATTGTTTTCAGATTAGTTTTTAAGATATAAATCACAGATTGTTATTTAAGTTTAAACAACTTCTTGAACTTTTCAGTTGCATACACAATGTTGTGTACTCACTGTGTTTACTGGGTCCAACATGGTTGTTAGCAGCTGCACACAAGCAAACGACAGTTCCATATTGAAATGACTGAACAACTAAATTCCTAATAAAGCCACTTATATTCAATTGGTTTTGATTTTCAGTCTAGAGTGTCCTTCCTGCTCTTGTTTTTCCTCTATTTCCATGTAGAGCATATAAATTCTTTTATGTTAAATAACAATCATGTTTTGAGGATTTTTTTGTTTTCATTACAACTGGTTTTGTTTTAAAAGTTATTATTTGTTCTTAATTTCTATTTCAGATCAGATTTTCAAAATTTCCACAATATTGCAGGTTTTTTGCACATATTTCATAAAACAGTAAGCCCCAAAATATGAGAAAAATTTTTGTCTTTATCAAATAGATTTGCTGATGAACTTTAGAATAAATATCATATTAATTCTTTTACTGTAAATTCAAACTTATTTCTCCAGATATTGAGGCAGAAAGAAAAAAAATCATTTTATCTTGATATGGTTTGGAATATTTATTATTTGATAGCTTCATAGTAAAAAGAAATGCCTAGTTTTTTTATGCTAATCAACACAGCAATTTGCTTTTATCACTTAATGAAAATAACTTAGCAAATAATTTGACAAATGCTTGAAAAAGTTACAAATAGAATAAACTGATCAGCTTAGAATGCTACAGATTTTTATACAAGTAACTTTGAAAAAAAAAAAAAAAAAAGCAAAAAAAGATAATTGATTTTTTTATCTTGATTTACATTTAAGAATGATTAATTCTAAACTAGTAGCTTTATTTTATTTTATAATTAATGCTGAAATGTTTGACACTTTGGACATTAGAATTCACTAATTTTATTAGTGATCATAATGTACATATTTAAATCTTTATGGATTCCTTATATCTAATCTCTTCGAATTTCATTCAAAAATGTTTTTTGAGCCCTCATTTTGGAGTTTAAAAAATATAGAGAATTAAAATAATTTTTTTTTTTTCAAAAATGTGTCTTTTGTGTAATATATTTGCTAAGCTATAAATAAAAAAAATGAAGCACCCAGTGATAGCCTCCTTAACCACCGCTAAATTACAGAATAATCATTATGCCAGTCATAAACAAAATCTTTATTCTATTTTCATTATTAAATAACCACACTATAAGTGAAGTAAAACTTTTTCTTAGAGATTATTAATTTTGCAGTTTTTTTTATTTATTATGCTTTGTGGAAAAATGTATATATTTTGGTAGACAGTATAAGAAAGACAGAAAATCTTCAATAAAAACTCCTGGCTATTTGCTTATATGATCTTTAATGTTCTCTCAAACTAATGAACATTTCTCTATCTGTTATATTGTGATTTTTCAAACTTGCCTTTGTATAGTTTTTCTAATAAAAATCTTAAGTATATTTTATTATACAGCCTGAAAAGAATTTGTTGCCAAATTAAGTTATTTTGAATTTTAGTACCTGAGACTTTGTAGGCTCTTTTTTTTTTTTTTTTTATTTTTTTTTTTATAAATAAGTTCACCTAGTATTGCTGGGATTTTAAATGTAACCTAATTTGGCAGCCCTGACAAAAAATAAGCCTGAATTGACAGTTTACCAAATGAATTGCTTTTCTCTTTTAAAGTAGTTAATGTTACTGTGAAGTTAGCAAATTATTTAGAATTAAACTTCTTTCTTTTTAAGACATGTTTTTCTGATCAAAAGAATAACTCTGATGATATGCCTTGTTATTTCCCTGATTCTTGTAATGGTTCTCCAAAGTTTTCTTTTTCTTTAGTATCTGAATTGCTATGACTATTCTTGGGAAATTTTGCTAAATGGTTTTCCAGTGTTTTCTGCACAGTTTTGAGTGCAAAGTTGAAATTTGAACTTTGCTTGTGAATTCCACTTTTTACACCAATATTCATGATGCCACCTGCACATCAATGTAATGATAAATACATATTTCAACCCAATGAGAGCTAGTGTCATGCTATTAATATTAAAATATTTAAAACCTTGGTTATTATTTAGAACAAATGATGTTTACATGATAATAATGGAAGTATATAAGAAAGACTATTTTAAAGTACAAACTTTTTTTTTTATTACCTAAGTACAAGATATATATCTTGTGTGAAATTCAAACTTTTTATTTGTCTTTCAAGTTTATGCTTATTATTCCCAATGAAAAAGAAATAACTCTTACTGTATGTTTGTAAAGACAGTAGTAGATTTGACTATCAGGATTTGGAGCAGACAATGTGGCTTGTGTCTGCTTATTTCATCAGGCAGTAATTCAAATAAAAACTGATGCAGAAACTAAAATATAAATGTTAACTTTAAAATTTCAAGTGGACATAAAAATGGAATTGGAAATCTTAAGTATACAACTGAATAAATGCTCTTAAAAAGTATTCAACAGATTATAGTAATTTTTAAACTTTTGTACTTTATAATTTATGAAAAAAAAAAAAAAAAACTTACAATATTGATACAGGCTCGTGTGCATGCAAGGGAGGTAACGTTTTAAGCATAAAAGTAGGTGAATATAACATGAAGACATTTTTTTCAATATATATTTTGCTATATCACTAAAGTAAACTTGTATTAAAGGAAAATTTGGTTGAAATTATGAAACTTGTGTAAAATGTCTTCTTTCCTTTGGTGTCATATGCACGCTTGGGCGATCATGTGTCTTTTCAAGTCATAATTGAATACTTAGCGTGATAATTCTCACAGTTAGCTGCTGTTACTTTTTACAGCAGACTGGTTGATAACCAAGACTATACGACCATGGGCTCATTCTGTCATGTTATTTAACCCATAACTCGGAGGAGATGGATTTATAACTTTCCTATGGGTATTTCGAACTCGGTTCTCCAAATTTCAAACCATTATTCATTAAACCACCCGCACATTTAAGGTTACAGCACCTGGTCTTCTTAAGCAGTCAACAATCTACTTACTTACCAGGCTCGATGTTGCTTAACTTCAGTGATCGACGACAATCGGCGTTTCAACGTAATATGACCGTAAGCTGTAAAATGTCTACATGGGCAATAAATCTGTATATTACATTAGCAAAACTAACAAGAGTTACTTCCCTTGGAGTAAATTGAAATAACTGATGGGAAACATTTATAAATGTCAAGATAAGTTAAGAACTTGCAAAATGTAAATAAGCATTTATATTCTTAGATGATTTTCATAGGTTACCCTAGAAAATGTTTTTGGGGATTTACGCTATGTATACAGCTTACCTGTGGAGAAAGAAAGAGCTTACAACAAGTCACCCCCTAGTGAATTTATTTAACCTGTGGAGTGAGGTGATCCTAAGACATACAAGGATTTATTATATGTGAACATTACCTTAAAAACATACAACACACACTCGACATTTTGTGGTTGATGTGGAAAGAACTTGTTGACAAGGAAGTCAAAAGAAAGAAAGGATTAAAAATTAACTGTAAGAAGATAACAAAATTCAAGCATTCACTTCTGGGTAGTGTAATAATAGAAAAAGATGCATGTATACATGCACACATCTGATCTGGCATGCTCAGCCACAGGGAACACCTGAACAGATGGTGATTCCTCCCACTGGGGCCAGGTTAGAATCCTGTAAAGAATACATCTTTATTAAATCTTAGGCTGGTAGATAT